TAGCAAGTACTACTTTGAGAGGTAATAGACATGAGTAACCAGACCCTCTTCAATACAGCATCTCTGATGACTGACGTGGAAAGCTCTGTGTGCATTTGTAGGAGCCAGGGCTCTCAATGGCACAGTATGGAGAAACCAACTGGCTTCATGGGGCCAGGGGAAACCTCACGAAGTTCAACAGCTGCAAGACCCTGCACCTGGGTCGGGGCACGCACCAGTATAAATAAGGACTGGGGGATGAATGGATTGAGAGCAGCCCTGCAGAGAAGGACTTGGGGATACTGGTGGATGAATATTTGGACATGAGCTGGTAACGTGCACTTGCAGCACAGAAAGCCAACTGTATCTTGGGCTGTATTACAAGAAGTGTGGCTCGCAGGTCAAGGAAGGTAAATCTCCCCCTCTGCTCTACTCTTGTGGGACCCCACCTGGAGTACTGCATCCAGCTCTGGGGTCCCCAGCACAAGACAGACATGGACCTGGTAGAGCAGGTGCAGAGAAGGCCACCAAAATGATCTGAGGGGTGGAATGCCTCTGCTATGAAGACAGGCTGAGACAGTTGGGGTTGTTCAGCCTGGAGAAGAGAAGGTTCCAAGAGACTTTATTGCAGCCTTTCAATATATAAAGGGGGCTTATGAGAAAGATGGAGAAAGACTTTTTACCAGAGCCTGTAGGGACAGGTCAAGGGGCAATGGCTTTAAACTGAAATAGGGTAGATTTGGCTTGGATACAAAAAAGACATCTTTTACAATGAGGGGGGTGAGGCACTGGCCCAGGTTGCCCAGAGAAGCTCTGGCTGCCCCATCCCTGGAGGTGTTCAAGGCCAGGCTGGACGGGGCTTTGAGCAACCTGGTCTAGTGAAAGATGTCCCTGCCCACGGCAGGAGGGGTTGGACTTTATGATCTTCAAAGGTCCCTTCCAACACAAACCATTCTGTGAATCAATGATTTTATGATTCATCATTATGATTTTTTCTTACTTAGGATTGTTAGAAAACCAAGTAACAGAGCGTTTCACTCAACAGCTGTGCCAGCAGAATGAAGGATGCTGTAACATCATGGGGAGGTGTAACACAGTGATATGAAGGTCACAGCTTCATCAATGGGAGCAGGAGTGGGCAGAGCGCTGTTTCATGGAGGACCTGACCCCAGGAGGTGCACCATCTGGCATCAGGGCAATGAAGCCCCTTACTCCATGCAAAGGCTGAAATCCTATCTTCTATTTTCTCAGCTGTTTTCCTGTTCCATGAAACATGCAATTTAATCTTATCTAATGGATGCCAATAAACTCAAGCAAAGTCACATACCCAGCAATCAACTTGCAGTTTTTGCATTGTTACACATTACATCATATACAAAGACATACATAATAACAGAAGGACGTCCCGTATGATTCAGGAACAAGAAGCAAATAATAAGTGGTAAGATGCTGGCTGCTGAGGGACAAGCAGGACCAGTTCCCAGAGAAGACTTCCTATCAGAAAATGCTTGCTGCACAAGTGAGACAGAACACAACTAGGGCAAAATATTTGTTTAGTATTTTTTGTCTTTCCAAATCAAACTTTTCATACTCATGGAGGCTGCAACAGTAACTCATTTGTTTACAGTTACTTTCCTAACTGCAAGCTGGATACTTGTCTGTCTTCAAAATAAGTCCTTGAGCAGTTTTGTCCAACTTGGTTTAGTACTCCCACTCCCCAGACTGTGAGGATCCAAGAGCTTTGCTCTGGTTCTCTGCATCAACAGCTCACTCTTCCAGAAAGGAACCTGCCTTTCAAAGCAGCCCAGCTGCCCCGCTGCTGTGCCTGAGGGTGCTGTAATCTTCCTGCCAGTCACCTGATGGTGAGAGCTGCCTACTCAATGCTTAAGCTCCTCTAAAGAGGCTCAAATTGAAGTCTTTTGCCTTTTAGAAGCAGGAAGAAAAAGACTTCCTATCTGTAGCTCCATCCACCCCTGGAGAATCCAAATCCTGGCTCAGAGCAGGAGGTCCCAAGAGGATTTGCCTTCTGGAACTTATTTCCTTACTTTTCACATTGAAACACTGGAACAGAGCTTTGTTTACACATGTTTTGCTGTAGGACTTCCCGAGAGCAGTTCAGTCTGTAGAGATGTCCCATGTGCTCTTACACTCCAGCAGTGACCTGGATCGTTCAGTTATTTGGGAACAGATCTGCTAAGCAGAGTTGGGGGGGGTGAGACAGGTTCTAACATACTGGTGAAATTCTTTTTTCTTCCCTGTCTGTGCTTCTCTGCTGTCATAGTTTTCTAGCTTTAAAAGATGTAATTAATATTAGAACATGTAATTAATATGACAAGACAGAAAAACCTTATCCAAGCATACCAGCTCACCCTGTGTACCTTTGAGGTACGTGACTTGGAACATCACCTTGGCAGTAAGGGACTGAGGAGAGGGGAAGATTGCTTTCACCTTAGAAGCAAATACCGCTGATGCTGAAGGTGGGGGAAAAGGGAACTCCAGGGATGAACGCGATATAAGCCAGAGTGACCTCACTGAAACCTTTCCCAGACAGAGCACCCAAGGAGCCCTGCCTGGCTGCAGGAGGACAGGATTTTTGGACAGGACAAAGGGGGCAGCAGAAGCCAGGCTGACATTTGGGTGTTGATCAAGGTAGGTTTTTATACTATTTATGTATTTGCACTGAGATCCTGGGATGTGCCTCGAGCTGCAGAGAGGTGACAGGCTCACACAGCTCTGAACATGTTCCTCTTCAGCATCTGGCAAGATACTGTCTTGCCCAGGGACTTTTCTTCACAACAGCTGACAGCCTTAGCATTTGTATTTCAGCAAAGCTGGAAATTTTCAGCCAAGGCTGAGGCTCCACACTTGGTAGGAGCTTGTACTGTGTGCACACGGACAACATCTCCTCGTCCAAAACGGCTTCATGTTTAAACAGATAACAAAAAGAAGAGCATGGGAAAAGGAAGGATTATTATCCTTATTTCAGTGATTGAGATTTAAAGCCAGAGAAGTGACTTGCCAAAATTACAGAGGCAGACTCTCTAGAAGCACGAATTGAATATTCAGGTCCAGTTTTGGGCTTTAACTACAACATTGACCTTCTTTCTCTAACATTTCCCCAGTAAAGCCCCAAAAGACTCTACACAGGCTGCCATGCCTGATAATATGCAAAGACAACCAGCGGCCAGTAGGTCCCTGCTTTCCTTTCTCCCTTGAGTAGGTGTACTGGATTTGTGCTGAAGTAGTGGAAAACAGGCAAGGCTACACCTCTATCCTCCTACATTGTGCCAGCTTCAACAGCAGACCAACTACAGGAGAGGAATAATCCATGCCTGCAGAAGAGCTGCAGGACCTGCTGCTCACTGGAGGAAGGGGATGCAGTTGCCAGGTTTGGACATTCATCTTCCCCAAAGCTCCTGTTCTTGCAAATGGACCAAACGCTTGCAGTCCAGTGCTGCTCACCAGGGCTATATTCCTCTGCTTCTGCCTGTACTAAACAGACTCAGCTCGGCCTGATGACTGATCTCTAACTATGGCATAAGACTGCCTTTTTACTGGACATCCAAAGCTGGACAGCAATAGGAGTACCTGGGCAAACCACAGGGAGATAGGAGGAGACCTTCTGTGGCCCTGCAGCATAGTATCTACCTTAAATTACAATAAGTAGATGCTAAAACAGTTGCAAGCATGCGGTGATTAACATCGCATTCCTGGCCATGAACAACTAAAGTATGTCAGGATTAACTGTGGCCAGCTGACATAGCTCTCAATGCTCTAATTCTGTTCTTTGCTTGGAAGCATTTGTGGAAGCATCACGCTGAATAACCCACTCCACAGCACACGCTATCTATGTGCATAAAAGGGCCATGCAAAATTATAGCCTCTAGGCTAGCGATTGCAGATACTGCTCTTCCCAAGAACAGTCATGCAATTTTGGTCTCTGTCCCAAAAGGACAGAGTAGAACTGGAAAAGGTGCAGAGAACAGCAAGAAAGATGACTGAAGGTGTGGAAAGGGTTCTGTGTATGACACAGGCTGGCACTTATCAGGCTGGGTAAGACATGATAGAGGGGGAACATGGAAACTGTCCATAAAATCCTCAGTGGCCTGGACAGGATAGATAAAGATCAACCGTTCACCACCTCTTCAAATACTAGGGGAACTATTAGGGGCACCACTCAAAACAGCAGGATGAAAATTCAAAATGAGTCAAGGTGACAGCCTTCAAACAAGGGGTGGACAACCAAGGGAAGTGCCTCTCGGGGAGCAAAATGATTGCAAAAAACATATGTGTATTCAAGGGCAAACTGAACACTTTCATGGAAAAGAAATGCAGTAAGAATCACTCAGCACAAAGACAGCACAGCTCAGGAGGCACTCAGCCGCATACGACTGAAGGCTACGGCAATGTATCACACAAGCAGATCCTGTGGGCCACTGCCAGAGACAGAACACCCCAGCATGGTTGCCCTTGTTTTCTTATGTACCTGCAGGTACAAACCACTTCAGGGCAGATGCATGTCAGTTGGGAGTCCCTGATACAGCCTGGCTACGTATGTACATACATCCATCCATCGGATAACCTTAGGGGGAGCTGTGACTACTATCACAGTAGCCACCTTCATCACAGGGACACAGGCCCTCCACATGGTCGCATCTCACAGCCACTGACACAAACCACATCTTCATCCCAGCACCGTGCCACAGAGCTGCGCCCAGCCCGGCAGCACACTCTGCATGGGGGAGCCCCAGACCCGGAGCTCACCAAAAGAGAAGAAAAGCAGGAAAGAAGGAGACACTGAAATATGCAGAGAGACATAACAACGAATGGGAATAGCATGTATGTGCTCCGCAGCACCCAGATACTTGAGCCTCCTGGTTAAATACCCTTGATTAAAAGCGGAGAGCTAAGAAACCTAACACAAATTAACTTTCTCCTCCTTATTGCAAGTTGGAAACTGCAAAGAAAAAAAAAGTAAAAACCAAACTCTGCTACGAATGAAGCAAGTTTGGAGTGCCCACCTCTCTGAAGAGTGCGCCATAAAACTGAACAATATACGGGCAGTCACTGCTTCGCATTACTACATCAAGGTCCATCAGAAGCTGCTTCTGTTCTTTTTCATCCACTGTCGACCGAATTCTCTGAAAGAGGAAGAGTGGCAGAGACTTTATCACTTACATGCCATTACTGTGTCCTCAGATCCGCCTCTGGAGAAACATGTCAGGGACCCCAAACCCAAGGCTGCACAGGCAATCCCCAAGGCATGCTCAAACACACTCAAGAGAATTAAGCTGTGTTCTCAAATAAGAAATATAACTCAAAACCCCTAAAGCCATTTAATTCAGACTCTAAAATCTCCAGTCCTCTCATGAGCATCAACACTTTCAGATGAAATGTCAGAATGAAATTAAAGAGCGGGGATTTAATTGAAAACTACTACAGCAAAACAACACATTCAGGTTTTCATTTCAAAACAAATTCCCATACAGTTCTTGGCCATGTTGGATGGGGCTTAAAGGCTGTTTTGAAATTTAACCACGAACATTATGTTTAAAATGTCTACAATAAGCACAGAAGACAAAAACGCTCTGTCCACCATGCCTCCACCACAACTGGCATGGTGAAAAGGGACCAACACAGAACCGAGGGAACACATTGCTCTGGTAATGCTAATGGTAGGCAACAGTCCCGTGAGCTCTTCTCAGAAAACTAACAATTCTTTACCTAGTACTGGCCTAGGGAACACTGACACTATATAAAAGATGATACTTTATATATATATAAATATATATACTATGTGTATATAGACAGATACGTGTATATAAAGAGATATATATGTATACACACTATATATATACAATATGAATAAAGAAAAGTCTAATTTGGGCTTGAAAGAACAATGCAATTTTGAAAACAGAAAACTGTACACGTTCAAACATGAAGCTTGTTAAACAAAGGATGAAGAGACCATCCACAGTTTTTCATGTGATTTTACTGACATATTTAACATCTCGCACTAATTAATGCATTCCCTGAATCACAGGTGAGGAAAATTGTGATCCTGAAAGCGTGACTCACATTGAAAAATCATTAAAAAACCAATGAAAAAAATATCTGGCAAGAAGTCCAAAGCAACAGTGGTAGCCTGGACCCTTCTTGGGGAGAAAAACTACTTGGCTATCCAAGAAAGAAAAATTATTCAAGGTTGTGGGAAAAATCTGCAAGATACCAGCGCCAACTCCCACTGACGCTACTGCCCTGTGAGCAAATGCTGGAGGCATCAAGACCAGCCACATCAGCAAGCACAAGGCTAAGCATATGAAGGTGCTTTGAAGGTTAGCCATTCGTGTAACACCATCTCAGAAACAGTGCGTGATTATGTACCTTAAGACTATTTCATGATGACCCACACAAAATGAGGACAGTATCGACACTATAATTTTCCTTACCTTTGGTGTATCCTGATATTTGGGTATTTCACCACTCGTTCTTAACATTCTAGCAGCTCTAGTTTGGCCTAGACCAGTAATTGTCATTTTTGTATTGCCCTTTTCCCTCCCAGCAAATTCTACAGTACTTGGGCAAACTGGCAAGAGACTTGCTCAGCACACCCACAATCTGCAACACCCACACCCTGTGATGCCACTGAGTGGGCGGGACTTTGTAGTCACAAACAGAGCAAGAAGATGGCTCAAGGGACTAGTAATGAAATTAAAAGCTTCACCTCTAGGTCACTGGTTCAAGTCTGTTTCACAGAAGTTCAGACACGTCACTGAAGAAAGCCTGATGAATTTGATTATTTCTTTGTCTTGTGTCTACTCCATATAAAGCTCAAAACCCCCCTGCTGAGATATCAAAGGCTGAGCAGATTGAATGTCTCCTTCTAGGTGGGACACCATCAGCACTGTGGGAAATGATAATGCCATTGCCCTGACCTCGACAGAAGACGATGGATGCCAAAGCCACCACGGTGGGACCTATGAAGAATAGTTTTTTTTCTCTCACTGAGATGCTGCCTACTCCTCTGAAAAGCTCACCTCTTTGGTGAGGAGCAATACCAAAAGGAGCTTTTCTCAATATTGCAACTCACATCTCCCATCTGTGCCAACTCTGTACCTGCCTCTAAAAAGCCTCCTTCCTGGTCATTCAGGAGTCTCCCCAGCCCCCCTCTGCATTCCCTTTGCATCTGCACAATGCTGTCACAGCCATCCCCACACCATGCTCCTCAAACTCCACACCTTCCCCTGAAAGCATCTCCTCCCACCTCTGATATTTCCTTCTCTGCTGTTACTTCTCCAGCTCTGGAAAACATGTGAAATGTATGTTGTATGCAGGAGGCAATTTTAATGGCAACTACACCAAACCCAAAGATTCCTCCTTTTCCTAAAGACAATCTCCCCAGGGAGAAAAAGAAAGGGCAGGCAGAGAACCCAGAGGATGGACAGTGAATGGGCTATAGGGCAGAACATCCAGGCAGCCACAGGAGCCAACGGGCACCTTGAGAAGCCAGCATGGACTCCCCAACAAATACTGCTTCAGGGAGTGAAGGGAAGGACGTGCCGGAGTGTGGAGACTGGCAAATTCAAGAGGAGGGGAAAAGTACCAGGAGCAGCATGAAGCAGAGCACTGAGCTGGGGTCAGCCCAGGCTGGAAAAGATGGCTTTGTTTAGCTGGAGTGCACCAGGGAGTCTGCTGCAGGCCAGCAGTCCCCATTTGCCAGCTAAGGAACATGCATTCACCAGCGAAACAAGGAAGAAACTGCAAAAGGGGGCTGAAGTCAACAGCAGCCATGGCCCAAAGAGCACACGAGCCATAATGACGATCTGCTACCTAACTCCAAGGCAGAGTGCAAGACACTGCAGCAGCCACCCCAGATGGACTCCCCCGAGAACATGGGAGATGGCAGGGAAGGAAGACACAAGGAGAGGCAACAGCTTGAAGACACTGTTTAAGACAGGGGTGGATAGGTCTGACTTAGCTTCAGGTTTACACCTCTCAGCCTGGTCACACTACTGGAAGCAGTCACTGACATGGCCAAACAAGCCTCATATGGAAAAAGTGGGTTTTGTAGTAGAGGCTTATGGAAAGCCTCTTTTTTAATGGTTCCTTGTTGGTCTCAAATTCGAACTGCATCAAATCCTCCAGGAGAAAATTCTCCAGCCCTTTTAATACAAACACAGGTTAGGACAAAACCTTCTGATCTCCGGAACAAAAGCTCTGAAAGCTATGCCCTGGGCAGCATCAACAGCAAAGGCTAAGTTATGCTGTGCACTGGACGACTCTCAAACCTAAAACCAGACAGATCCCAGAAACTGGACCCAAAACAGGAGAGACATTACCCAGCCCCAATACACACACAAAAAGATGCAGGTGCAGTGGGTAGCGACCAGTTATAAAAAGAAAAGGAAAGAAAAGAAAAAGGAAAAAAAAAAAAAAAAGAAGCTATAAACACCAAACTGAGAACCAACTCTGAGTTGTGAGACAATACAGTGCTGTCCTGTGTACAGGGCTCAGGTGTCCTCAGCAGAAGGCACAGCACAGCAGGGCTTAGCAGTGTCACTGGAGGGCTGGTGCTCCCAGGGGATGCCAGGGACTGAGGACACCAAACCAGCAGGAAGAAGGGGGTTTGCCCACTTGCTGCTGAGGACAAGAATATTTCTCTACCCATCTGAAACACATTTACCGCTGACAGAAGGATGGCAGGTCTTCCACTGATCACAGCTAGTTTCCCATCTCCTACAGTAAGGCTCTCTCTCTCGCCATTTCCTTTTAGCCCTTACTCATTCACCCCTCTCCCAGTGTACTACGAGCACTACCAGCAGGGCTCGGAGCACTGGGCTCCCCAACTCCCAGCCAGCTACCCAAATGGATGAGTGAAACAGAAAATTCTGCTCAATAAACCACAAGGAGTCAACTTGGGAGAGCGTACCCAATTGCATGAAGAATGGACATGATGAGTTGCGAGAAAGCCAACTTGCAAAACATCCCAAGACTTCTCTTTAGAAGTCATACAAGAAATTGGAAGAGAAATTTGCCCCTTGACTGAGCTTAATATGCTAACGCGTAAACATGGGCTTTTGTGGGCTATCAGGCATCCAGGTAAGGATGCAGAGACTATGGAGGTATAACTAAATGTGCAATTTCTGCTCTTAGGGATATCTGATCCTTAGCAGCCTGTTTCAGCTGTGAGGCTGCCATCAGAGAAAATCTGTGAAAGCCAAAGACATAAACATCTGTTTAAAACAGATGAGAGGGTAAGCACTGACTAAAAGGCAAAATGATGTGAAAGAGGCACTGTGCTCTGAACCAGAAATAGCTCCACAGCTTACTGGCTCCTCTGGGAAGAAGAGGGATCTTCTGTGGACACCTCATGGGCTTATTTTATGTATCTCTAAAGAGTGCCCTGGCCAGCTTCTCCGACTATCCAATTGATCTTGAAATTGCTTCTGATTTTCTTAGGCCAAGTTTAGAGTAGAAGAAGTGGAAGACCACCTGTAAGCTGGTCAAAAATGCTGCTAGACTAAAGAGAGAACAAGAAACCAGCAACAATATCTGAGGACATTAGTTGGAACTGGCGACTAGACTAGGCAATATTGCAGAGCGGGGCTAAATCTGCTGGGCTGATTTGTATAATAGATATCAGAAGATACAGAAAATTCTGGTATATGGCTGAAAATCACTATATCTTTTGGAGTAGGGGAAAACTGAACACAAGGATCATGGACAAAAATGCCCTCTCCCCAGCTGGCTTACTCTCCTGGGTGTAACTATTTCTGACAGAAAAACAATTTGATTCAATAGAGGTGCAAGATGTTTCCATGGGGCCACAACAAGAAGCTTGGAAGGTCAACCAACAAACCACTCTACCCATCTCTTGACGGTGTATTTCTCAGCCAGTTGCGCTGGCTAAAAAGAAACTGGCCGAAGCTGCTAATGCTGAAGCCCAAAGGTCGGAGGCGCTCCCTGGTGCGGGGCTGGGGGCTGAAGGGGAGCGGAGTGGGAGAGGAGGGCTCAGGGCACCCCGTGCTCAGGCTCCTGACCCACACAGGCACCACCTAAGAGATTAAAGGTTGGCTATTTTAAATATTTGCATATTTATCTTGTGAACTCTTCAAACAAGAAAATTTCTGAGCCTTTGAGAGGCCTTTTTAAGCACCCTGGCTAATAAAACCCACACCAGGTACTACACACACTGTTTAAGTAAAAAGCAGAGCATCCTACTCCAACAGGGAGAACGCCCCCAAGCTTTCGTTCCAGTTTGGCCTTTTTTTCATTAATTTACTTTGATACCAGTTTGGAAAAATGAAATATGCCAAAGATCTTGTAAAGCACTTTTTTTGTGTGAACTATCACTAGCGCCAGGCGGAAACCTCAGGACAGAATGAAAACCCCCAGGCGCTGGGTGATCTTCCCAAGAAAACCATTTCACCCAAGTAAAATGGGGCTTCTCTACGGTTCCTCTGATGGGCCCAAGACAGTCCTGTTCCTGGAGTTTGTGGTGCTCTCCAGAAACAAGATGAACAACCAACTGTGGGACATTACCAGCTGGAGATGCTGGAGGGTAAAGCCAAAAGGGGGTGAAGCCTCAGTGATAAAGCCCAGAGTGACAGCAGTGGAGCAGATCCTGAGAAGGGAGTGAAGAAGCCCGGGAGATTATGAAATGCCACAGACCGGGCAAAAACAGACTAAAGAGAAAACAAGAAACCAGAAGCAAAGTCAAAGGACTCTGGGTGGAACTGGATGCCAGACCCAGCAATATCGTAGAGAGCTGGTGCTGCAGGCAATGCCAGCCAGGGCAGGGACTCTTTCAGGGAAAATGAGGAGCCCAGAAGAGAAACCTGCCACGGAGGTGAGGAGGTAATGTACAAACCGGCCTTGCAGTTGTGAATTTGCACAGAGCTGCCACTGGACAAAATTGGGCTGTTCTCTTTCCCACCTGGAAGAGTCTTGGCCTCATATTCCAATAAACTCTCATGAAAATGAATAGAGGGGTTTCAGTGAGAGGAAGACCACAATGCCAGCTGACCCAGAGCAAACGGGGACTGTGCATCTCTAGGAATATCTGAGAGAGGAAGGGACCTAACGAACAAGAGGATTGACTTTCATTAAGATTTGGAAAACATAATACAACATTTTCCGGGGGAAAAATGAGAAAAATTCGAATACAAATCCTCTGAGTTTGATTCCTCTTTCCTTTATCCTTTTCCCCGCCTTCCTCACGGCTCTAGGAAGAGCTGTCTGTGGCAGAAAGGGTAAGGGATGCACAAGCATCAGCCAAAGGCTACAACTGCCTGCCTCCAAAATCAACCTCCTGCAGCCACTCCAGAAGAGGTACTGTAATGTCTTTTTGTTATTTAAATTCATAGAGGCACAGAATGACAAAGGCTGAAGGAGAGGGAGGAGGACTGGGGACAAGAGCTCATCATCCCAGCCTCTCCCCAGCAACGCTCCGCTCTGCCAGCCAAAGCTTTGCTGCAGTGGTTTCATGCCAGTGACAGGATGATGAGGCTCATTTTCCTCCTTCAGGCTCATTTTCCTCCTCTGCCGCTGACGCTGTAGCACAGATGAAAGCTTTCTGACCCAGCCAGGGGCCCAGCAGCCCTGTCCGTGCGAGCAGCTGGACACCTGCACTGAAGGTGCGGGGATTCCATCTGCCAGGACGATGGCTAATGAGGCCAAAATGAGTAAAACGGAAAAATGAAAGAAAATGGTGCCCCCGCCAGCAGATCTCAAGTTATTTCAGTGATAGTGCAGCCCTCAGGGATTATTCTGTGGCAGTGGTAAGGAGGGCATGCAGGAAGCGTAGCCAAAGGGCTGTGCTCGGGGAGCTCCCAGGGGCAGCAGGAGCCGGCGTGCTCTGCGGCACTGGGGCCACACGCACTCAGCGGGGAGAAAACGGAAGGCTAAGCTAAACCATGCTTCAAGTGACAGGCTTGGAAACGCCAGAGGAAGGAGGAGGAAACAGCATTTGCGGGTACACTGCAGCAGCCGCATCTGCGCAGGCTGAGAGGTGAGCAGGATGAGCGCCCAGAGGCACCAGCAGGAGCTGGGATCAGCCAGAAGACTCCAGCACTGGGGAAAGAGCAACGTTTCACCTGCTCTTTACAAGATAACTGCAGCACACTTGTAGAACAAGGAGGATTTGAATCTGCCCACGGCAGAAGCGGTGGACAAGCCACAAGGCATGCAGCCTGGTCATGGTCACTGCAAACAGGACTTGGTCCTTCCAGAAGCGGGGTAGGAAGATGCCTGACTGCACTGGGAATTTGCAGCAGTGGCAGTGGAAATTTGGGTAGTGGTGAAGGACAGAGGAGCAGCTGTGGGAGGCCCCCATACCAATTTTCTCTGCATCTAATTAGCAGCTTCTGTAGCCATCTCTGCATTTCACTCATCAATACAGAACAGCCAACAACTTCTGGCTGGTGACATCCATAAAGCTATTGCTGAACGTCCTTCCAAGGCTGATGTGCCTGCTGCAGTGATGTTGCTCTTGGGCAAGCACTGGAGAGGGACAGCAGCACCACCAAATAACCAGAGACACTGGCTTCGCAATCCAGCTAGTTGCAGGGCAGCGCTCCTGATGCCCTGCACACAGCATGGTGTCACACCACGGAGTTGCAAGCAGGTGCCATTAATGTCATAGCCAAGACCGCAAATCGCTAGACTGACACGTTTTCTTCTCAAACCACCATCCCTTTTCTAAACCTTCTCAATCTTCTCTTACAGAAGGGCATTATGCTGAAGGAAAAGAAAACAAGCTAAGTTCCTGCCTGTAGAGCAAAGAGAGATGCCGGAGAGCAGCTGGTTTCCCTGAACACTGGTGGGGACCTGGGGTTTAAGAAGGCAACAGCTCCATAAGCTGGCAGGACACCACAGGCTTGAAGGAGACAAGAGAGAGCAAGAGGTGGACAGCCCCAAAGATGGGCAGCCCAGAGGGCAGATTTAGATAGATCAGGAGTAGGGAGATTAATGCACAACCTCAGCTGCCCCCAAAACAGAAGCAACCTGTGAAAGAAAAGGCTGAGAAGTTTAGGATGAACGAGTCACAAGTTCAAGCTCAGCCCCATCCTGAAACGTCATCTCAAATAACTGCACCATCCATAGCTGCTGCTGCCTTGGAGACCTCACTTACTGTTCCACTCACAGGTCTTCCTTTGCTCAATATCATGTTTTATCCCGATTGGGACAAACAGCCCCTTACCACTAACATTTCAGAAATGACATGGTTGCCCAGACCCTCCAACCTTCCTTCTCCTGCAGGCCTAGCTGTGCCTGCCCAAGGGGAATGGGTTCAGAGAAAAGAAGGTGGCACCATCCCAGCCCACAACTTTGGCATTTCAAAGTTCAGGCACTGTAAACCCATCAGTTTTCATTTGTTTAAAAGTAAGCCCCCGAGGCCAGCACCCCCCTGGGGCTCAGACCACCTCTATTCCCTTGGGAAAGCCAGCTAAACGTGCTGTGCAATGTCATCACCAGCTCTGTGCTTCAAGAGCACAGTATTGGTGTCTTCTGTCTCCCACCTGGGAGCTGTACCTGCATGACAGACCCTCAATGCTGATGAGATTACCCTATGATGCTAACACCCCTTGTGCAAACACAGTCTGGGACAACAGAATTTCTATGCCAGCAGACGCGTCTCCTTCTCGGTGACATTAGCTAATCCAACCAAGTACTCTTCTCAGCACAGCTGTACCCACTGCAGAGCTTCGGATAACAAAGCCTCTCAGCTATAGGTATGCCTTTCTCTTACCCATGGCTATCACGATTATAGGAGCAAAACCATAGTCACCCAGGTCACACGCCCTGAATTTGAGAGGCTGGGGGTGCCCAGGCATCATTTCACTATATCAGCGGTTTTCAACCTGTCATCTGCAAACTCCATCTACAAGTTCCACCAAAGGCAACTAAGAGAACCAAGTCTTCAGCTACAGGCTGTCTCTAGCTACACTGGAGACTTGGATTCAAGAACAGGTTGAAACACCCCTGCATGGTGGTGATCCAAACACTCAGAGACCTTCCCAGTGATCCCACTGCTGTGAAGAGGTCAATATTTACTGGAGAAAAATCAAAGGATGGTGGTTACTCCAGTAACCTGACACGCTAGAGACAAGTAAGAATTATATTCACAGCAGCTCAAGCTGGGGCTGAGACATGTCTACCTGGCATGTGAGACCAGCAGGAGTGAACGTTTCCAGATCAGATCAGGGAATATTCCAAAGAAGACAGAGAGAGCTGGAAACGAGAGCAACACACACTCCTACATAGCTCACTTCTACCCTTCCACAGGAGCACTTACAGTTGATATCATCAATGGAGTGAAAAGATTGATGCCATTAGCTACCAGCCAGCAGCAAGCAAAGAAAAGGACAAGACAGAGAGAGAATGGGTGCTGCCCACCTCACCCAGCGCGATGGACACGCAGCTCCTCAAAGATGCCCAGTGAGCAGCACTGCTGCGGCAAGACAAGGATTACCCCGTAACGCCCAGCTGAGAAATGAGGTCGCATGTTGTTTCTGGTTTTAAGGTGATTTTTTTGGGTAGCATAAGCTAGAAAATGGAGAGTCTGGAAAACTGCTATGCTCTCCATCTCCAGAGCAGGTCCGGCATTGTAAGCACAAACCAAAGACACTCCTTCATACATCAGCAAGACCAAAACACTCCCTAGACATCCACTCCATTCCAGCTTCTCCTGGTGAGGCTACACCATGGCACATGCTTCCATAAGAAGCAAATTTTAAGTCACTACCTTATTTCACAAAAGACACCAGGAAGCTATTAGATGCCAATGTGTGCCTACCACCAACCTCGGCTGTATCTGAACCAGTGACCCAGAGGTGAAAGGCCCATGCCCCATTATCAGTCTCCAGAGACATGTGATCCCCTCAAAACAGTAGGTTCCTGATAGGCATTTGCAAAAGGGCACAAGCAATTATGAGAGCTTCACAAATCACTTGACAATATGCCCATTATACAATGCATTTTCAGCAAATGGCAGGCTTCACATGGGAAATAAATAGAAACGAGCAGTAGATGGGTGCTAGATGGAAGAACATTAATTCTCCATCACATTTCATCCCTAATGGACTGAAGTACAAATGTAAGTATGGGCATCACCTACTTTAACTGCCATAATTTGCCCACTTGGTTTGTGGACCATTTTGTTGACAGAACCATAAGCGCCTCGTCCAATTTCTCCAAGGTCTTTCAAGTCCTCTGCTGTAAAATCCCAATGTTGTTCAGGGGAAATCTTCAATTTTCCTGATGATTCAATGCTGTGTGTTCTCAGTCTCTCTCTGTCAAAAATATTGGGAAGCAATTTTTCCACATTTTAAATAGTCTGTAAATTTCTCTTTTCAGCACTTGATTAAACATTAGAAGAGAGGGGTTCACAAAGGCTACAGCAACAGTCTAACTCCACGAAGGATTTTGGTTGGGGTGGGGGGTGCGGGGGTGAGAGAAAATGTTAAATCAAAAATGACATACACTTGCCCACAGCTTCACTCAAGGATAAGTTTCTCCAGCTGCGGTGTAAAATTCCATGTGTCTCATATAGTAGAGTCATTCTAATCACTCATTTACACAGTTCTTTCTATTTTGCATAAAATACATCAGGCTTCAAGCAGGATCTGGTAACATGCAGAACCGAGAATCCAAAGTGCGCTCCCCGGACCCATCTCCCCAAAGCTTCTGCTCCTCTACACAACCACGGTCCCACCAACCATCTCCCTTCTAGTTGCGTTTCTATGCAACACGGGCAAGATCTTCTGTGTGAATCAAGGGGACTTTAGAAAGGGTTTGCTCTTAATAGAAAACTGCAATTAACTTAAAAAACATTTTTGGTAATCATTTAATTTATTCAAAAACAAATAAAGAGCCAATAATTCGTATTTCTTAAAAAAACACCACAAGTTGTGACATAGGAAAACACCAAGTGACTGTTTAAGTGTGTCTTTACCAAACACCTAAATTAATGTTCTGGGGCAAACACTGCTCCTACTGAAGCCACCAGATCTGTCCAGGTAAGGAGCAGACCAAGAAGAGTTCAATGGTTCTTTTAAGGTGCCCACAATTACTCGTTCAAATGCGGCAATGCTATCACTGAATTAGTAGGAAATGCATAAGTATTTTCAACACTTTTTGTCTTAAAATGCCATGCAAATTTTCAGTTTTTCATTAATTAATTAGCTGATTCACACTTCTTGGGTCATAAAGTAAGCTGAAAGCCTGAGTTTCCCACTTTCAAGTAGCATTAACAGCATTAATGATAGTTCCCACTGCAGAACACACCGATCTCGCACAGATATTAAAGCACACAGCTACTCCTGCCCACCTTGTGTACAAGGGAGATTCTGTCAAACTCATCCCTTGAACTATGATCGTTTCTCGTGGGCATTTGATCAAGCTACCACTTGCTTGTCTAGGGTCCAACCAAACAAGCAGAACACACATGAGGTACCCGACCAAACACATAAAGCTGATCGAGTCTATCAGCCAGAGGAATAAACATGTTATGGCCAATTCCACGCTGATAAACACAACTGTCTGTCAACCAGCAGCTGCAAACACTACCCTGTTGGATGCAATGGTAGACCCAACCATGACCTCCACTGGATTTTATTTGGATCCTGTTTTTTTGCAAGGGCAATGAGGTCAGGTCCAAAGGTCAATTGACTGGAGCAGCTATGGTTCAGATGGCTTCATCTGCTGCCCTCCAGCTTCTCTGCAATGCTTTGGTTTAGCACCTTCCGGGCTTTGAGCAGCTGCGTGTCCTGAACCCTTGACCCATTCCACGAAGAGCCTCGCTGAACAGCTCCTCTCACCACTGCTGTGCTGTGCCTGCCCCAGTCTTTCCTGCTCTCTAACCTGCCTGCCTCGAGATTTTTAATCTGCCACTCCCTACAGTGCCCCTCCGCTGCCCTTCGAAGGAATTCAGGAAACCTACTGATAGTGCTACAGATGTGACGGACACAGCAGCCCACGGAGGCAGAGGTGGCACCCCTTTGTTAGCACCATTATTTTTTTTTGAGTTTCTGTGCATAATAAAACACTGCACTGAGTGGGGTTCTTCATGGAATTTGCTTACTAAAAAGCAAGGAATGAAAATAAGGCAGTAAAAGGACCAAAAAAAGAAAAAGAAAAGAAAACAATGAAAAGAAAAGAAACATGACCTCCAGACTTGCCAGCTGTCTTTGCAGGCAGCTTACGTTGGAAGCTGCATGAATCACTTACTATCTAACCACTCAACCATCCTATTTTGTCAGTACCATAAAAACAGTTCTTCTTTTGATGGAAGAAGGTAGGTGACAACCATCATGCCAAGGAGGCACCAGCAAACGGGCATTCCCTGCTGACCTCCTGCCAGCTGGCAGGCAGGAAAAAGCACAACCATCGAGGGCTAAATTTTGTTCAAAAAGGCAGGAAGAAAAAGGCAGAGAGGCATCACCAGGAGGGTGAAATGTGAGATTTGATTTTCTGAGCAAATGCTTTCCGTCTCCTGTTTCAAACCAACATTTCATATTGAAGTTCTCATAAAGTTCAAAAATTTCAATGTTGACGTGGTTTACTCAAATAAAGCAATTAAACCCATCTCCCCTCCTCCCTCTCTCTGTTTTTCTGCCCAGGAAACCTTGCTTTTCTTACCCTGTACCAGAAGAGAAAGCAAATTTGAATTCATTATTTCCTTGTTACACAAGAAGCCTGTTTCTCCCCAGCTGTAGTGTGACAGCAGATCTGTGACATCGTTCCCGCAGCTGCAGGAAGGGTGGTTTGAGCAGATGGGAAGAAGATGTGAAGGAGGAAATATCCCCTCCACGGGTCTGCACCGAGTGCCCGCGGCAGCTGGATTCTGGTGCAGAGCAGCAGAGCCTCAAGGGTTTGGATGGAGATGTACCATCACTGTCCACCACCCACAAAACCTCACGTGTTGGAGCTCGGCTTAATTTCCATTCTGTATTTATTATGCCATCTGCCTTGTATCACAATCGCAGCTCCCGCTTATCTTTTTGCAAATACCCAGGGAAATGGTCAAACAACCAAATGACAAGTTTGACAGAGTGACAGACACTTTAATATAGATTTTGCTCATTTAACTCATTTGTCATGTGCAAACAATGCAGTTTTCCTTTAAGCAGCATGGCCTTTCTTCAGAGTCAGTAACCGAGACACAATGATTACTTTTAGCGTCAAGACACTACACCTTATATCTGGATTTTTTCAGTGTAAACCAAAATGCCAAGGGAATTCCATGCCAAGAAAGCAGCTAAAAAAATGCAAATGTAGAACACAGAATCTCTGCATTGATAGCAAACGGGAATTTTCTGATGTAAAACAGAGTGAGGCAATAAGAGCAGATAAATAATCAATGCGGTATATCTATGACTAGATTTGCACTGCTGCAGATACACGAGGACATTAATCCACAGCATGGACATGCTCCCAAAATATGAAAGAGCCTGCCTAAACCCTGCCCTACATCCTACTGCACTGGATACTACAACAGCTTGCTTCAGAAAATAGAAGGGTAACCACACAGAACGGTGTCTAATGAAGGTGAAAAGTAATTAATACCCAGTCCCTGCTCCTGCAACCAATCAGATTTCAGTCCCTGTGTTTAGTGCTCATTAGAGTTTGTGCAGATCGGGGCAGACATACGCCTCCTCTGACCATTTCGTTTTTACGCTGTGCAATCCAAATCTCTCTAAGGCTGGGAATGTTCTGCAAAAAACGGCCATATATATTCTCCAAATGATCAAAATGCCTCAAATGGACTTGTGGGGCTTAATGTAGGATTTTAAAACAAAATAAATAGCTAAAGAGGGCAAGACAATCCTCCAACAGTTAAAAGTAGGATTTTCAAATGCGCCTTAGAGACAAGAGCTCCTGTTGACTTGTCCAGGACTACTTGAGCTTCCAACTCCTCATCTTGTTTTTAAGAATTTTTAAAAGAAAAAAAAAAAAAAGAAAAAAAAAAAGATGATAGGCTCAGGAGGTGGTTGGGATGACTGCACTTGAAAGGCTCCAATGTATCAGTCTCACTGCAGATGGTTACTATGCTTGTCACAGCAGTTATTCCAGGGATTAGGAGCACCAAACAAGACAACAACTCCTCCAAACAGTTGCCCTTTGTCAGAAATGAAAACGTTTGTGGGTCCAGCTTGGCATGAGGCAGGCGGCCGGCTGGCGCCAGGCACCGCAGCCTGGCCAAGGACGGGGTGACGTGCATCAGGGACGGGAGGTTGCTCACTGCGAGCTTGGCAAGCCAGAGCCGGGCGGGAAGGGCTGCCACGGCTAGAGGCCCACAAAACCTCCTGGGAAGGACCACGGAGACACTGGGAAGCTCTCAGACAGGCTGTGTTAGTTCCCCGAGCCCTGCTGTTAGCACCGAACTGCAGAGATGCCAAAACCCTTTAAAACAAGCGTTCCCTTGGCATGAAAAAGGACGACTGTGGGGAGAAGCAGAGAAAAGTTGGTGGATTTTTTAAGCAAAATTGAAAGTTAACAGACATAAAGCAAGGCCAGAAAGATCCTGTAGGTAGCTACCTATCTCCTCTGTGGTCTACTTTGTTAAGAGTTCCACAAAACTCAAAGAAGCCCAAAAGTTGAGGTATTCAACATTACAGTTGACGTGAATAAAACAAATCTGAAGAGTCAAAAAGATGTAAGCAAACCAGCCGTGCTTCACAAGCCTGCCTAGTGCCGGATTCTTCTAGGAAGTCTCTCATTAAGGCTCCTATTTACGCTACAATTAATGAGAATATATTCTACTTCTCCACTAGTTTGGTAAAAGCTGCTCGGCACAATGGGACTTTAGATCTGATTTGCGGGTCAGTCAGGAATGCTAAAACGTAAATCCTAACAAAAAAGCTTCCATGCAAAGTGCAGGGTTTGAATGACACTGTGCAGGGTTCATAACTTCGGAGTCAAAACACAGCTTATGGCTTTGGCTAACATGTTTCTACTGAGTCTTTCAAATAGCCTTGAGAGGTCGTAATGCTTCTATCTCAAAGTCTGTACTACCTATAAAACAGTTTTCAGACCTTGCAGGCTAACACTAATAAAAAAGTAACCTTAGTTTAAATTTCACTGGAGGAAGTCTCCAAAAAGAAATGTTCCTTTTTTTTTTTTTCCTAGAGGATGGACAACATTGGCGCTCTCACAAATCTTTCAGATTTTCATGAGAAGAAATTTCTGCTTCCAATAAGCTGATGAGCAACAGCGGTGTTTCAAGAAGGGCAGAATTAAATTGGTTTTGCTCTGACCCATGTAAGCTGTCCTGAGGCTTACTTACATTTAC